AGCAGAATGCTCTACCTCCCCTGTCATTTTCAGTAGATTCAAAGGAATAAACATCTTCCACAGCTAGTAAATCTCAAAGCCTTTATCAACATGTGGGAAATAAGTGTTGCCTCAGACACACTTACCCTAGGATGGGATTATTGCTTAAAGATGATAATATTGTGGAATAATCCTTTTATAAGTATTCTTTTCTAAAAAGACGTTTTTAGAACAAAACTTAAGAAAGCTGCAGGTATAAGCCTTTATTTCAGCTGTAGAAACTGATACTTTAAGCTTTAAAGTCTGTAATTCCACGTAATATCAAAATTGATTCATGCCTGTGGTTTGAAATATTTTTTAATAAAAAAACATTAATTTAAATTTTTTCTTATTATTTAGAAGTAAAGAATGCAGCTAGATCAAGTTACTCAAAATGTTCATACCAATTCAAGAATGCAACTACTAATGCATTGGTTGGTGCCAAGTCCACTGAAGGAATCCCGGAACCTGTTCCACTTGTTAATAACCGTAAAGGGAGCCTCTTCCTACCCAACAACCCCTCGCTGCTGCACCTTAACTTATTGAGTTCTGTTGAACAAGGAAAATCTACGTACTGTAGATTGCAAAGGGCACTCAGCTTGCCTGTAAAATACCGCTACCACTCCCAAAAGCCTGGGTTGAACCAAGATCTCCGTAGGTAGCCCCGTAGTTGGATGCATAAGGCAATACAGATTGGTTTGTGCATGGTTTTGCAGTCTGTTTTCAATGTGACTATGACATTACTAATGCTCTGTTAAGTGCTTACAGATGTGGGTTTCCCCAGATGTGGTGATTAATAAGTTAATCAAGATAGCTAGTCAACTAATGTTTCTGGGTGGTTTGTGCTTTCCCTTTCATATGGTTTATTTGCTCTGAAGCATTTACATGCTAGGCAGAATGAGTTTACCAGTTCGTGTTATGTTCAGCAACATAGATGTTATTTCAAATTCCGGCTCTTTTTGGGGTCTAAAAACAGTGTCTGTAAACTGTTCTGCTGGTGACCTGGGAGAGGCAGTGAAGGAGACAGATTAATTTAACAATTAGTAACAAAACCGCAAATAAAAAAGTTAAGTACTTGTCCACAGTTTCTGAAAGACATTCCCTTTATTTTGCTTAAAAAATGAAATGAGGATAAAAGTCAAGTAATATGTTGTTACAGATGTTCAGCTCTATATTAAAGCTGTTAAAATTACCAGCATATCTTAAATCAATGCATGGAACATTGTCTGGAGGTTATGTCATTGAAATAATGAATCCTCTTTACTCAAGAACAGGCAAACATGTTAAAACATCAGTGTAACTTTAAATTAAACTCCAGCATAAACCAGAGCATCTGAAGCCTCATTAGACTTGCCTGACATTTTTCTAGCACTGAGTCTTCCTGAACTGCAAAACTGTTAGATTCTCTGCCTATTAGACAAGTGAGCACTGGGTTGTTACAACAGTACATTGTGTTACACTTAGGGATGTGCAAACAAGCTCTTGAATTTCATTAGAACTCAGAGGCTGGTTCAAGTTCCGATTCTGTAAAATTCTGTGTCCAATTCTTGAACTTATTTGCAGTTTGCATGAAAGCTGGCAAAGAAAGTCTGCATAATATAATATGACTATCTTTTAATGCAAATCCTGTGACATAAAGACATCAAAAATACTAAAAATGGGAACACATTTTCATTAACAAAAGCACTAGGTCAAACATACAACATCAGAGTAGAGTTGTTGTATATCACAGCCCATTATTCAAATATGGTTGTCTTTCATAAGAATAAGCAAATTTAAGACTCCCTTTTAAATTAATGCAGACACAGGAGCCATGAAACTAAAATGATATTTTATGGCTTTACTAAAACTTTTGCTAGATCTATTTCTTTAAATATGCAGGAAATGGATAAGAGTATCTGAAGGATAATAATTAAGTATGTTTTATACCCTACTTACTACTAAGAAGCCACTTGTGGGTTATCATTGCATCACTTTTGGGAACCAAGCCATAGGTAATGATGTCCATTATTTACCATTCACATATTTCAGCTTCGTGGATTCCTTTCCCCCATTCTAATGGAGCTGCGTTTCTCAACTGCAGATGCCCTGTGAACTCTCTGCACAGATTTCATTGAAAAACAAAATCTTGTTTGGATGTGATGTGATTAAGATAGATCACCTTTCATTGCTGCAATGAGAATAAACGGCTTCCTTGCTTAAGCAAGACTTTGCTTTAGCAACAAATTGAGATCCCTTATAGAAGGCTTTGCTGGCAGGTATTAACTAGTAAGCCACATTAACCTGGGACTTCCCAGGCAATTGGTGACAATAACACAGTTTGAATATGACAAGCAGATATCAAAAGAGAGAGCTTATTTATAGTAGATGCAGTACCCAAAATAACCACAGACTGCTAGAAATCTAGTTCTAGAAATGGTTATTCTGGATGATTACTAGTAAGACTTTGTTTTTTAATTGGACGGATGGGTAGCATCACCTGGCAGCACTGGAAAACACAAATATTGGACCATATAGTACAAAAGGTCCTTATTGTACTAACTTGCAATATTTGAAAGGATCAGACAGGAGTGTTATTAGCTAGCTAAAAACTTGGAAAAGTACTCTTTTTTAGCAGTGTTTTCTATTGTTCGTAAAAATATTTCTGGCTATAGTATGATCTAGAGTTGACTTGTGTTCATGTAAGATTTTTGCACATGATCCTGATGGCTATATGTCTTCCTTCAACTGTTAAAATAGTATAATAGTACACTTTAATTATGTTGCAATACTGAATCTCTTGACAAACATTCTGTAACCCCATGGAAGGAGATAAAATTAAGTGACATTTAGAATTTTTACTACCAAGACAGCAAAACGTATCAGTTGCAGCTTGTTTCTGGAAGGAACGTTTTGCATGGTTCTTGTTCCTTTGATCTTTTAAGTAGTGGATTCCTCAAATTGGAACTGAATGTTTATATCCTATAAAGAACAAGGGAGCACAGTGTATATCTTGAAAGCGACCTATTGTCTGTGTGGAGTAGCATGCGAATAACTTTTTGATAGGCAAGTTTAAAACAGGACTGCAGTTTGCAGAGGGTGTTCTGAAATGCGCAAATACTTGTACTTTGTTATAATCAGAAATAGAAAGATATTACTAACAAAATAATTCTGTGCATATTCACTTCATGTTACAAATAGCTAAACACTGAAGTGATCTACTTTAATCCAAGCAAACTATCACAGAAAATTTCAATTTGTATATTTTTGAGAATTTTCTGTGGGCCTATTTATCTCCCAGCTGAACAAATAATGATATTGGACTAATTGTTGATAAGCATTTCCACTATAGGACTCTCACTTGGAAAAAAAGAAAAGTCAGATGAGAAGAAAATGTCTTTGTCTTTGGGGATGCTGCCCAAGGAGAAAAGAAAGTTAAGTTAGTGAAATAAGTGATTACTAGACAGTCATTGCTCTCGTCTAAGTATTACCTTTTACACCACTCTTTGGGGCATTTATTTTGGGGTTAACTATTTTTTATTTTTATTTTTATTTTGCAATGCTTTCTTTTGTTTTGATTCCCTTGATGTTTTAGGTGATGCCAGGTCATTTAAAAAACCAGCACATCTGTCTTTTCTGGGCCCAGTCCTTCGGACTTGACCAAGGCAAAATGAAGTTCGAGAGCAGACTTGGGCAAACAGACAGTCATGAGAGACTAGAATGCAGTCTGTAATAAAATAGCATCAGAAGAGGGTTAGAGCAGGAGGTTATTGCTTAATTTCTTCCCAGATAAGTCTAGGGCAGGTGACACATATCCAGGTTTTGTTGTTGTTCCTGTGTAGCTCATTGCAAATAGAATTTTTTTTCCACCCTCTGCTTGTGCACTGCTAATGTGTATTAAGCTCTTTTAATATAGCTGCTACTACTACTAATCTCTTTCCTTTTAGCTTTAAAGTAACAGCTTCCTAGGCATCAGTTATATTATCTTCTAGGTAATTTTTTGGTTAAGAGTAGGATGGGGGAAAAAGTGTATTTTTTCCTTCTTTGTTTTAGAAAAATTCAGCATCGGTGTGAATTTGAGAAAGCAGGCATAAGATAATTCCCTCTGACAGCACACGTGAGCCTTATGCGCAGGTTATCAAGTGCAGTAACAATCTTGAAACGGTAAAGATGATGGTTAATTCTTAGAGATGAGTTATTAGGAAGCTGCACTTGTTTAAGCAATAAGTGTTGTGACATAGGTTATCCGAGAGTAGCTTATGATTGGCAAAACTGTAAGTGATTTTACATCTGGAAATTGATCTGTCATTGAAAATGCACCTCATCCTCATTAAAAGATTGCATAACACATGCATCCTCTGTTATACAGGTATTGTCTCCCCACTTCCATTCAACCTCATTCTGTTCACTTCTGTTAAAACTCCCTTTTGTGAGAAGGGTAGAGCGATGAGGTCTGACTTGTGCTGGAGATCTGTGCACAATGGCAGGCTGCGTTCACATTCCCGACTAACTGAATCATTGAACATCAAGGCATTGAATATTTTACATCTCTTCATGAAGACTCTGTTGTTTGGCATGTGAGGAGCAAGAACCAACTGGTGTCTAGTTCATTAGCAAAAGCGGGCTGGCAGCTGTTATGTTGGTATTGCGAATAGTACTTTATCTTTCTGAGAATATAGCGCAGCACTAATTCTACTTTTCTGTAGCACAGATTAACTGAAAATAACTCTAAGAATAACCCGAATGTGGTTCCCCCCCTTTGTTTTTGAAGTATGAAACCAATTTGAACGCCTGTGTTCAAAACCCTGGTACTCTTCCCTGCTTCTCCTTCAAACCAATCTCTTTGACTAACATGTATTTGATTTTTATTACTGTTGGGCCTATGTTAGCAATGAAGTATCAGTGCGTGAATGGACATAGAGTGTGTGTTCTTTGCTACTTCACTTGTATTTCATATCGCACCCAGAGCGGTACTTAATCTCATGAGTTCCTTATATTTCCAGTTGAAGATGAGCAGCCGTCGACACTGTCACCCAAAAAAAAGCAGCGAAACGGAGGCATGCGAAATTCACCCAACTCCTCACCCAAACTGATGAGGTAAGACTATAAGAAAGTCATATCTTCATCTTCTTTCTTCCTTCCTTCCTCCTCTCCTCCCCCCACTTCAAAAATAAGGGGGAAAAAAGATTGTTAGATGGTTTCTGAAAGGCTGAAGTATTTATTCTGTCAGCTTGTCAGCAGTTAATGATAGAGCTGAAAAAAATTCTGTCATGAAAAACAGTTTGAAAAGCTGTTTGAAAAATACATAGGCTTTAAAGTCTTAGCTGTCACCCTGTCCTGTCCGTGTGTAGTTCTTAAACAGCAGTGGCACTAATGATAGCACTAACCAATCAGGGGAACTCATGTGGTTAGTTTGCCTCAGGCAATTCTCTTTTTGTTGGATTCCCTCTGAGTACTGTTTTCTGTACTTAAGGCCATATGTGAGATGTATCATCACAATCAAAAATGAACCTGAATATTACCTTCCTTTTATCCTGTCGATTGAAATCAAATTTCGGTTAATTGATTTAGACTGATAAAAAAGTCTAATAATCTATGTACTTGCCAAAGCAAAGTTCAAAACTAATGCAGTTTTACTCAGGCTAAAAGCACATTAATTATGAAATACAGGGATTTTTAAGAGGGTAGTGTATACTCTAAAAGTGGGTGATGAAAACATCATCTTGTTACTGATATTTTTCCCCTGTTGCTATGTGTACATTATTTTACACCAGTACGTCTTTGTGTAACTATGTAGTTTCCTTGCATGGGACAAACTACCTCTGAGAGATTTGTTAAAACTAAAACTGCAACAAGAAATTGGAATCTGTTAAAATAATATGGCATTTGCATTCTGTCTCACTGTGCTTCACCTTTTGCCTGCTCAAGTCAGTCAGAACAGGAGCAGAATAGTGGACATGGAGTTTGCTACCCAGTCCTGCTTTGGCTTTTTATACTAAAAGTAGCCAGGATAGAACCTCAGTCCATAATTGTATGCAGAACATAGCAGAGATTTTCCACTGCATATATATATATAGACACAGTAATATATGTAAACTTATTTACATATATGAACAGACACGTTTTTGCAGGTCGGGGTTTGGGTGTATGTATAACTATAACTGCTCTGCAGCCACAGAGGTTAAGTGAAAAGAAATTAACATGAATATATAGTTCTTTCCATATATAAAATAACTCATGACTTTTCTTTTGTTGTTGACAGTTATTTTGTTCCTTTAACAATTCTGGATACAGCTAGGTAGTATTCCTCTTTGTATTTCGGTCAGTAGACTGGGGTATTCTTTGGCCAGTTACAGAAGCATCCATATTTATTTATTTATTGTTCCTGCAATAAAGGGCATGTTCAAGGACGTAACTTCTACAAGTCGTCTTCATCTCTGTTTAGACTACGGAACCAAAAGTGAGATTGATTCACAGAGGAAAATGCACCCAGCTGTGGCTTTTTTTTCCTATTGACCATCTATTTCTGTTAAATGTATCATTAAAAGTTCTCTGCCTTCCTGTTAGCTCAGCCTTGCCCATATGACACTGATTTACATGCTTGTTTACAGTTTATGAGGAAGAATAAAATGAACATACTGGCAAGCTTCTCATTTTTATGGTGCCAGTTGTCATGCTAGCATCATTTTCAATTTACTTACCTTTGGACAGTCATCTTAGCTGGTGCTAATAGTTTTAACCACTTAAAGTTTTAAACATGTGGGAGATTCCCCCCACCCCCCCACCCCCCCCAAATCCTAATTTGGGAGAAGCAGAAATAAAAAGAAAGAGAGGGAGAGAGAGAAAGAGCTGAAACATTTGGAGCTGAGCACACTGTCCCTGTTTGCTATGTAAAGTATGCCTCATTTCTTTGATCTTGAGTAATAATAATTCTGGGGAGTTATACTGTTTTCATATGCTTCAAAGCTGTGTCAAAGTTTTGCTGCTTAAGGGTACTTCTTTATTCTATTGGCTCTTGGGTACTGAGATGACAGGTCCTCTGTACTAGGTGCAGGCTTTTTCAAGTCATAGCCTTCAGCAAAACATCAAATTACCAAATACAGGGTAACATACTTCTACACAAATGCCTTTCCTGTAGATATATTATACCATATATATTAAATACTTTAGTGTTACACGGTACATTTTATGTGCAATAGAAAGTGATGGTTTGAGGTAGCCTTAGGGGTACTTTTTTCCACAAGCAGAAAAAGCTAGTGTATACCGTATCAAGTATGGTTTTTACAGGACTTTCTGCCCGAAGGCCTTTGTAAATAAGTAATGATCAACAGATTGGCTGTGGGTTTTTGAAAAGCATGCCTGTGTCAGTTTGCATGATGGGGGAAGATTTTCAAAGTGGAGCCTGCTTTCATTGCCTGCTGAAGAGGGACTGAGGGAGAGTAGTCATCCCGAGCCTGAGCTGTCTGCTCAGTAGCACATCAGAATTGCTAAACACAGGTCGAGCAGCGAGTGGAGAACTTGCCAGGCTTCCAAATCCAGACATTGTTTTCTTCCTCTTCACCCTTGCTGCTAAATTTATTCTCCAGCCCTGTGTCGGCACCCTCAGCCTCTCCCCAGATCCAACCGTCTCTTTGTCTTACTCTTTATCTACACAGACTTAACTTGGGTTCAAGGTGCTAAATAAGAGAAAGTGGATTGAATCAGAAGAGAACTCTGTTAAGCTTTGTGTGTAATGGCCAAACGCTGTTCTCCTTTCTGATAAACAAAGGTGGGCTGTATTATCTGCTATTTTGTATCCTCGTAAATTACCGACAGTGACAGGTACTTGCTTTCCTGCCCAGAAATCTTTAGTGTATGTCAGCTAAAAGTACACAAGAGGTAAATCAGCTAAAGCACTGTCATGTCTGAGGCTGATATTTATCTTTGCTTTTTAAATTTACTTTAAAAGCTCCTTTAAAGCCAGCTTCACCTCTGTCCCTCCCATGGAAACAGCTGGCTACTTGGCAGACTTTTCCTCAGCTATGGTCCTGGATCTAGAGGGGGCCTGGAGGCAGGAAGTCTGGAGCATGTGAAGGAAGAATATGTGAAAAGTTCATTTATAAATTGTAATCAGAGTTGTGACTTTAGAGTCACTTTCTGAGCAGCCCTACAGTTAAGATACTGTTGAAAATGCTGCATAGATTTTAGATTTCCACAGTGGTCGGGGCAAATCAGGGAAGAAGGTATTATGCCGTGAGATAAAACTCTGTGACTTCTGCTATTACTGGAGTAGAACAGAGGACAGAAGTGGTATCATAGGGATTCCCTGGGACATCACGACCAGAGGTCTGACAGGCGCTTATTTAGGCCTGGTCAGAAAGTGGGAATTTTTGAGATTTACTCACATATAAATAGAAAGCTGTATTACCAAATATGATCCATATAGATAGATTGAAGTCATCTTTTCAATGCCATCTTTTTGATGATATTGTCTCTAAATGCCAATAAATTACTAACTGAAATAGATGGTAGGGATACAGATGTTCTTTGTACAGATCGCAAATGGTCTGGATTCACATTTAGAAAGTCACTATTCTAACTGAATCCTGCATCGCATCAAATGACATGAGCAGAATCACACTGATGCAATACTGGAAGAATTTAATCCATCAGAAACAAATCCTTCAAATTCCAACTATAGCTACAAATGCAAATTAACTAGAACAATACTCTGCATTGTCATGGTTATTTCTGTCTGGTTTACATCAACAGAAGTCTGTCCCATTAAACCCGCAAGAACACAGATATTACTTAAAAATAACTTAAACTTCTACAGGAAGAAATGGATGCTTCTGTGGAGGTGTGAACACAAGGACATCCTGTTACAATAAAAAGTAAAATTAAAATAGGAAGTGGAAGAAAAGGAAGGAAAGCTGTAAGTAGCAGGGTAATCGCATATCACGTCTCCTTCTTCATGAGACGAAGAAGAAAAGTAGAACCATTTGATGCCTCTGGTGTCATGCAGTGATATCAAGTCACCTGTTCATCATCTTGCAGTTGCAAGTTTTGATGCATGTTATTGACGAACAGCCACATTAAATATGAGGAGGCTATGTCACCCAAATATCAGATAGCGAAGCTAGTTTTAAAAAAATGTGTCATTTTGGATTCCAGAATGACCAGTAAAAATGTGAAAAGCCCTGGATATGAATCAAAAAAGCCACTTAAAAGGATTGTTGCTGGGGCTCAAGTCCACACTTAATGCTTTGGTAGCTGCTATTGCATGAGTGGAATACACTGACTTGAAGGAAATGTCAGCCCAGCTGAGTCAAACTACCTCTTAATGGAAGAACAAATAGCATATGACAGGGCCCAAGGGGCCTGAAGAGCAAACAAATAGTTTGTCCCTGTCCACTCTGAATGTAGTGGTGTAGTTGACATAGGCCTCTAGACAAGTAGCATACTCAGCAAAGGGTCATTATCATTAGTGTCCCTGATCACATAAGAATCAGAGGCATCAGAGGACGCTGGGTTTTCAGTGTGTTACCAAGGAGAATCTCATAAGCCCGAGGATTTTTCTTGATCAAGGATCTAAAATAATTCCCAACCAAACCATAAAACTTGCTCAGAGACTGTCAAGACCCAGCTAAGTGACGCGGAAAAAAGTGAGCTCTTTGGCATACGTTTCTGGAAACCTAATGAGATTATTTATCTGAAGTTGAGGGGGAAACCTCCTGTCTTTTTTCCTGAATATTGGATATAATACTCTAAGTATATGAACAATGGCCGTGCACGTTTATCTCCTCATCCAGCCACCCAGCTACATACACCAGATGTACACACACATTTCTGCTAGTGCCACTCGGAATGAATTTGTAGTTCCCCCGCCATTGTCATGCTGCCCTTCCATGAGCTGAAACTGTGAGCTTTCTTATAGGAACCAAAAAAATAGATGGGCGGTCTAGAGGGGAACATTTCCCAAGAAAAACCTTGAAAAAAAATAAATTCAATCTGATCGTTTTCCATGACTCCACTAAACCAGGCGTGAAGGTAAGGTTTGAAGAGGTGAAAACTCACTGATTAACCATAATAATGGTTTACACTTATGTCCCTCAGCC